GGGCATTGGAGAGTAAGAGCTCTGGATGGGGGCACAAGAAGGTTTGCTTATAGGTGAGGAGTCGTTAGAATCTGGAGGTTGGGACATCAAACAGGGAGGAAGGGGAACTCCTGGATTTCTAGTCTGGGAGATGGGATGAGTACTGAACTAGAGAGTCTACAGAGGCAAGAGATAGAGAGGTGGTGGTCAAAGTTCACAGGTCAGTTATTTCCTTCGGAGCAAAGACATCCAGGGAGGATGCTCAGAAGGCAGAACTGAAAGCCTCAGTGAAGATGTCCTGAATCTGCTGTCTGTGATGCAGAATCCTGTCCTCGCAGGATACACAGAGCAAGTGAGGAAAGAGCTCAGAAACTCGCCAGTTAGACCATCAGAAGCTGCAGGCTTTTCCACCTCCTACCCAGAATGAGAAGGCCATAGCATGAAGCGTCTGTAAGTAAAGTCAGCCTGTCTTAGCACAGGAATGAAAGATGCACATCAATTTTCCTTGAAGAGCTAATTGGCTTTGCTTCCATGAGTGGCATCTCTGCCTGGGTCAGACAGAGTCTTCACAGGGTTGTGCCTTCTGGAATATTATGGATAAGTCCCAAGTGGTTTGAATCTATCTTCTCTGCCGCTTTCCTTTACAAGCTATCTTCACAATTTAAAATTTGTCTAGACTTCAAAATTTGGTGTGCACTAGAAAGGACAGATTTACATCATGGACTGATACATAAGAAATCAAGTGGGAAAATGCTCCAAGCTCAATGATCCTTAGTGAATTTAACCATATGTAATATCCTACTCCAGGAAAATCAGCCTGCTTAAACAATTTGTTGAACTTAGCATCTCAGAGTTATTTGACCTTGGTGTTCTCTCTCTCTCTCTCTCTCTCTCTCTCTCTCTCTCTCTCTCCCTCTCAAGATTTATTTATTTCACTTATATGAGTACACTGTCACTCTCTTCAGACACACCAGATGAAGGCATCAGCTGCCATTTTAGATGGTTGTAAGCCACCATGTGGTTGCTGGGAATTGAACTCAGGACCTCTGGAAGAGTAGTCAGTGCTCTTAACTGCTGAGCCATCTCTCCAGTCCATTATTTGACCTTGGAAGGATCTTTCCAGAGCTCACATACAAATAGTCCTCTAGATTCCACAGAACTAGAATCTTATAGCACATCCTTGATAAGGAACAGTTTAGCCACTGTCAAGAAGAAATACGTTCATGGGCCCTCTTCTTTGCACTAAGTATTCGTGTTTCATGCAAAAATGGTGCCAGCTAGGTTACTTAATTTTTTTCCTCACTGAAGTAGCTTCACAACCAAATGACTTCTAACTCCAGCTGGTGTTGATCATCACTTAAGGGAAACTCTTAATTATAGACCAGCCTGAAGAAGGAACACAGCAGTCTCCAGAGAAGTGTGTCTTTATAGTTAAAATGTATCTGACACATTGAGGATCTGATCAAAATAATATGGTTATTTTTTTCCCTAGGGGAAACAATTATATATTTCATATGTTTCATCTAGCACATAAAATCAATAAGTGTGTTGATCTCCCCATGTCCCAGATGAAGAATTCCTGCACTCTAATGCATTAAAAACAATGTAAACTTGTTAATGATGACCAATGTAGCGATGCTGTTGAAATCCAAAGGTGCCTTGTATATCGAGTATGGACGAAGATCACACCTAGGTCAAAGACTGGAGCCATTTCCCTGTGCCAGCAGCACTCCAGACACCAGGTTTTTCTGTTTTTGCACTGGCCTTGGCTTTCCAGCCAAGGTCTATTCATTGCCATGTGGTTTGAGGTTGCTCTTCAGTAAATCCTAAGTTTTTCTTCTGAAGTTCCTGCTTTCAATGATCTTACTTGAATCCTTATCAAAAGAGCTATCCAAGAATCAGGGATTCTGAAGAGAGACTATGCTTATGGTAGACACAACATAATCTGAAGTGTTGAATGGGAGTTCCCTCCCCCACAATCCATGTCTCCAAAGCTAAGAACTGAGAAAAGGCCAGTAGGCATTTACTAGCTGTCTAGTCATGGAAAGGTCACTCCAGGTCTTGAACGTATGAACTAGGTCACACATGCAATTATCCCAACTGTCCTCTCTCACAGTGCTGCTTGATGGACCAGAACAGTAACAGACATGAAAGCGCATTGGAAGGTGCAAAGGCTCCATGGAAACATGGAAGAAGATGGCAGTGATGGCCAGCATCCCTAACTGTTATTTAATAAATGAGAATAGTTGACTGAAATCACTAACACTAGTGCACACCACCTCACAGCAGCTGTTCTGTGTTTCCTTCACATCATCGGCACTCCAACCGTAAGATACAGCTGAAGGCTTCCCATGAGAAGACTCCAACCATGAGATACAGCTGAAGGCTTCCCATGAGGAGACTCCAACCGTGAGATACAGCCGAAGGCTTCCATGGGAAGAATCCGGCAGTCTTTGCGATTCACATCCTTCACCTGGGGACTATTTTCAGCTTTTATTTTACAAAGTCACTGCCAGGTTGTCTCAATTCAATGCACCACTACAGCTCCCAGATAATTCCTTTCTACGACCTCTGCTTTATGAATTGAGATCAGTGGTTAAAAATCAGAGTGCTTCACCTAGTAGTGAAGTATTTTTATTCTGTGCAGCTCTTCACTTCTTCTATTGGAAGCAACTCTAATATAGAAGTATGACTTTCTAGCTCAGTTTTAAAGCCAAATAAAAAAAGATTCTCACTACTCGTTCCTTGTGTGTGTAACAAATAGCAAGGTGAGCCCCTTCCTGTCGATGCCTGCCCCCCTCCCACAAGCCTGTGCCACCTGTTCAGCTCCACAATTCTCTTTAGGAGCCATTGCCAAACATGAAGACATACCATGCACAGCACAGACCAATAGTCCAAAACCCTTCAACACTGTCGGCAAACCCTAATGGCCTTCAGTAGGAAGGATGCAGCACATCTACCGTGCAGTGACTCATATGGCTATTTGGGAATAAAACTAAGTGTATTGGAAACTTCCTGAGAATGTTTGCATGAGGATGAGAGTGAAGGAGGGACTGGTTTGGAAGAGCAGGAGTGGGAGGGGCACAAGAGAGGGCAATGGAGGCGAGTTTGGTTAAAGTACGTGTGTGAAAAGATTATCCCAAAACATATTAACATGTGCTAATGAATATGAGAAGCAAAACTTTTACTTGAATATGAGATGCCATATATCATCTTTTATGTGACAGATTCCACATTGAACTAGCACACACACACACACACACACACACACTTTGAAAAATGAAACCCCCAGCAATTTGTTCACCCACCTAAACCACTCAATGAAAGACTACACTTGGAAGTTGAAATTTGAGTCTGTGACTTGGTTTAGTCAATTAGTCATCCATTTGGCTAACATTATTTAAAATTTAGGATTATATGTCGCAGCTATAGTGGCCAAAAATTCACAGCAGTAAGACGGACGATTTGGCTATACATTCCTGCATGCCACACAGAAACAAGCAGGAAGGAAAGTGGAAATGAAAGCAAGTTAATGAAAAATTACATCTGATAATAAATACAAAGATAGGTGCAATGAAAGACAACCGGGAGGTGAGGGAGCACTCACTCAGAAGCAGGAGGTGAGGGAACACTCTCTCTGAAGCAGGAGGTGAGGGAGCACTCAGAAGCAGGAGGT